TTGAGCTAACACTTGGCCAAAAAATTTAAATAGTTTGTTAAAGGATAGACTTGCTTGACTATATGTTTAGACCTTTTGAGTTTTCTGTGTTTTGGAAAAACTTGAGTCGAGGATCTATTGCAAATAACTTCTCTATCTTCGCAAGGTAGGGGCAAGGCTGTGTACACACTATCCTCCTCGTACTCCACTCATGGGATTATATTGGATATATTATTGAGTTTTGAAATACTTAGTTCAAGTCACTAGATGCAAGCTCAAAATATCACCTTTTTTTTTTTTGAAGTGTTATTTTGATTTGGATAAAAAAAAACAAATGAAAAAAGTGGTTTTGAGTTGGATAATGAATTTTGATCTATTTCAGGTCAAATTGTCCAAAATCATTTTGGTACAAATAAACTTTGAACTCATGACTTGCATTTCTTTTTGAAAAATGAGTTTCTTGAGTTTAGGGTTTATCATAAACAATCTCTTTATTCCCACAAAGGTAAGAGCATGGTTTCTATACACTTATCCTTCCCAAACCTCATTTGTAGAAATATACTGGGTATATTATTACTGTGTTTGATCGAGATGTTCATTAGCTCTACTCGATTTGAGTTATTCAAATTTTGCTCAACCAACTTATTTGACACCCTAGTATGTGATATTATCCCTATTATATTCATTTACAAGTTGTGTATTTAGTTATCTACTGGAAGTGAAAATTGTTTTATAGAGTAGCTTTCTTTGTGTCTATAAAAACATACAAATAGAAAAAATGACTGTTAACAAGTAGATCCCAATCAAGAAAAACTTGAGAAATCAACACTGATATCCTACCCCCACCCTCACCCCTCGAATTCAAAATTTAAAGTTTATGAATTCATATAACTATTTCACGTAAATATTCAATAGTAACTAATATTTATAGATATTTAACGAATTTCTTAATACGTAAATAAGATCTGAACAAAAGTTATTGAATTCACGTGAACTCAATAATTATGTTGGAGACCCACATGTACCCACTTCCAACCTTAACGCCACCCTGCCCCTTCACTCTTACCCACCCCACCTCACGTCCCCCCCACTCCCACTATTTAATTTGCATTATATAAGTGTATTTAAAATAATATTTTATTTATCAAACACTAAAATAATATTTTATTTATCAAATACTAAAAAATAAGTTTAAAAAATACTTATTTTTTCAGAAAAGAATTGAATATTTTCCGTGGATCGATTTTTTTATACCAAAAATACCCTTTATGAACTTAGTTGAAAAGTTAATTTCATTTTTTGGTACTATATATGGTGATATACAAGAAATTAATTAGTTACCTGAGGAAAAGAAAAAGAGAAAAAGAAGCAATATATGATTAAGAAGACTAGGGACTTTAGAGTATAAAGTTGCAAATCCAATCACTATATATATATTGTCCGGTGAAATTTGGTAAGTAAGGTCCAGAGATTACAGATTACAGAGGGTACTCAGGGTAAGTAAGTATATGAAGACTTTATCCTATCTTTACGGAGTAGAGAAGTTATTTTCAGTAGATTCTCGATTCAAGAAAAGTGTTTTTTTTATATATATAAAAAAAATTAAAAATCATAAAAGAAAATAGAAGTTCTGTGATTGCGTACTTAAATACATATAAAAAACTTAATATTTGGTTTCTAGCTCACATGTGAAATGTTTTAAATTTTTAACAATCTATTACTAGTATATCTTTAGACTTGTGAAACACGATGTTAATTAAGTAGAAAAAAAATTGAATTTGCTAAGACTTCTTGAGTAAGATTATGAGAATTATTTAATAGAAGTAAATATAAATAATTGATTAAGAATTACAAAAATAACCTTGTAATAATTTGCTGACTCTAAAATTAAGTTTCATTCATATAATAACCAAAAACAGTGGAAGATGAATAAATTTGAAGTATTAAAACTCATTAATTAAATCAAGTGAAATAAACTACACACACAAAAAAAAAAAAAGGTGTTAAAATTCTTGAAAATTGGAAATTTGATGGCATGAATTAATAATCCGATAAATCCGGCAGTAATTTCAAAAATGTTTGACCATATTTATATGTGTTAGAGTTTAGTCATATGAAAGTCTTTAGATAGTGATTGATGGACAATAAGTTTAAATTCCTAAAGAAATAGTGTATTTTGGTCATTACTCATTACTTGAGGTGGGTAATTATCCCCATAATATTTTATCAATTTAATTATTGTGAGTATGGACTATAGTGTGCACAACTAAAATAGAATATCTAGAATGCAAAATTAGTCACATAGCATATGATGAAGTGGAGGTGGAATTAAAGATCAACACATAATTCGTTATATCTAAGAAAGGAAATTTCAAGTATTTTAGGGATATATATAATCAAAGGAATCGGGAGATTGATTGATGATGATGTCGTGCATTGTATTGGAGTAGGGTGGATAAAATGAAGGCTCGCATATGGGGTACTGTGTGATAAGAATGTGTTTTATGGTAAGTTCTACAAAATGATGGTTAGACCTACATTGTTATATATATGGGGCAAAATGTTGGTCAGTCATGAAAATTCATGCCCAAAAAATGAAGATAGTGGAGATAAGTATGCTCAAATGGATGTGCGAGTATATTAGGAGAGACAGGATAAGAAACGAAGTTATACATGACAAGGTGAGAGTGACCTCTGTGACGGACAAGCTGGTGGAGGAAGCGAGACTGAGATGGTTCAGGTATATGAAGAGGAGGTGTGCATATGTACCAGTAACGAAGTGTGATTTTGTGAGAGGTTGGCTATATCAGACTTTAGGAGAGGTAGATGTATTATACTGAAGAAAAATTGACCCTTTCTTACTTGATTGAGACTGAGAGTCAGGGATTGAAGGTAATTAGACACGACATGACACATTTTCAGCTTATTATGGACATGACCTGAGGTAGAAAGATACGGAGGTTGAGAATCAGAGTAGAAGAATAGTAGATGGTTAGTATTGTCATACTCTTTTGTGGGACAGGCAGGGGCTAGTCCACTCTTCCCATCTTTTCATTATTATTATTATTAGTTAGTATTCGTGTGGTACATTATTCTTATTATTTTTTACTACTATCAATTGCTTAATTTGCTTTATTCATCTTAATATTTTGTTGTCGTTATTTTTCTTACAATCTTGCTTTGATTACACTTCTTTCGAGTCAAGAGTTTATGAAATGCAGTCTCTCTACCCCATAAATAGTAGGGATAAAGTTTTCATACATCGTAACTTTCTCATACTTCACTTGTGAGATTACACCAAATATATTATTATTATTATTGTACGGACTATACTGCAATTATAATACGACGAGTGTAATTGACATGTTTTACGATTTTCTCAAAATCAAAATCATGGTTTTTTTGTTTTATAGATAATTAAGTCCGATGACTTTAAGTTTTAATAATTTTATTTTAAATTTCAATTTACAAACACAATGAATTTTTTAATACAAATATATTATCCAAGTGAAATTTATTGAAATTGGTCTACCTCGTAGTTAAGCTTCTACCTTCGCCCCTGATTAAAATCATTTTAATATTCTACATATATAGTACACATATACAACAATAATTCAAAAAAAAAAGGAGGGGGGGGGGGGGGGGCGAGAAA